TGTTTGTATATATATATATATATATATATATATATATGTGTGTGTGTGAAAAAAAACAATAAAAATTGTTAATAAGGTTAGAATATAGCCGTCTTCCGAAATTTTAAATACGAAAAAATAAAATAGAGTAAAAAAGAGTAGAATAGAAAATTAGGAATAGAACAGAAAAAAATAGAATAGAATAAAAAAAAGGAATAGACTTGAATAGAATAGAATAAAATAGAAAGGATATAGCCGTCTTCCGAAATTTGAATTTAGAAACAAATAGAATAGAATAAAATTGCAAAAAAAAAAAATATTATAGAATAGAAAATAAAGGAATATAATAGAAAATAATAGGATACACAATAGAAAATAATAGAATAGAAAAGAATAGAATAGAAAAAATAGATAGAATAAATATTGCTGAATTTTGAATTTCAAAAAGAATAGAATAAAGCAGAATTTAAAAAAATTACGTAAAACAGAACAGAATAGAGTAAAAAATAAAAGAATACAATAGAGAGAATAGAATGAAATAAAAAATAAAATAGAATAAAAATAAAAAGAATAGAATAAAAAATAAAAGAATAGATAATAATAAAATAGAATAGAAAAAAAAGTAGACTAGAGTAGAATAGAAAGAATATAACCGTCTTATAAAATTTGAATTTTGAATAGAATCAGTTATTCTTCACCATGAATTCAGCTTGATTAGATATTTTCAATTCGAATTTGTTTTGAATTTGATTCAAATACTTCAAAAACCCATGGATAAATATGAATCTGGTCGAAAACTAATAAACAAAACAAAACTAAACTAAACAAATTTCACTACAAATGCAACAAAATTAGTAACTTAAAGCGGAGTTCCACCCAAAAGTGGAAGCTCCGCTTGTTTACCTCCCTCCCCTCCACTGCCATATTTGGCACCTTTTGGGGGGGAGCAGATACATGGTTTTGACAGGTACCCACTCCCACGTTTGGCTCAGTTCGTCGCAGCAAAGTGAGCCGGAAGTTTGTCCCCCTCCTTCCTCTCGCAGTCTCCTGGGAGCCTTCACAGGTCCCCGAAGACTGCTGGACCAATCAGCCATACAAAGGAGTGAGCTTACAGTGTAAAGCATACACACAGCCCCTTAGTAAAACACTCCCAGCACACAGTTAACCCTTTGATCACCCCACATGTTAACTCCTTCCTGCACAGTTCCATTAGTACAGTGTCAGTGCTTTTTATTAGCACTGATCACTGTATTGGTGTCACTGGGGATGTCAGTGGCACCAAGTCAGTTCCATCCAGTATCAGAATGTCCGTCGCAGTCTTGCTATAAGTCGCTGATTGCTGCCATTACTAGTAAAAAAAATATATTTTTTTAAAATTCCAGGATAGATACCGCCATTTGTAGACGCTATAATTATAACGTAAACCAATTAATTTACACGTATTGGGATTTTTTTTTTTTGCAAAGATGTAGCAGAATACATTTTAGCCTAATTTTATGACAAAATTTGATTTTATTAATTTTTTTACCGGACATGTTTAATAGCAAAAAGTCAAAAATATTGTTTTTTTCTCCAAATTGTCGGTCTTTTTTTTATAGTGCAAAAAATAAAAAACACACAGGTGATCAAATACCACCGAAAGAAAGCTCAAATAGTGGGAAAAAAGGATGTAAATTCCATTTGGGTGCATGACATACGCAAAAGTAACGCAGCGCCGTAACGCAAAAAAAATGGCCTAGGCAGGAAGGGTGGGGGGGGAATCCTCAGGAGGGCAAGTGGTTAAAAGTCAGCAGCTACAAATACTGTAGCTGCTGACTTTTAACCACTTGCCCTCCAGAGGATTTACCCCCCCCCCCCCCCCCTTCCTGACCAGGCCATTTTTTGAGATACGGCCAGGGGCGGACTGACAACTCATAGGGCCCCCGGGCAATAGGGGATCATGGGGCCCCTGTGTCCTTGCCAAAACTCAAAAAAGCCCATGAAAAAGGTACCAGGGGCATCTCATGGGGCCCCCTACTGACCCCGGGCTCTCGGGCAGTGCCGAGTTTCCAAATGGTCAGTTTGGATACGACGCTGCGTTACTTTAACTGACAATTTTAATAAACACAAAAACATCTGGATCGCCACTTTAACAAATCATCCCTCAGCCCTGGTTCACATACATGCGGTGCGGTACATCGCATGTGATTCGCACAGGAACCGCACCGCATTCCTGTGCAAATCACATGTGATTTGTGTGCGGTGCGATTGGAACCATACTTTTTGTATGACTCTAATTGCATCGCACCCGCACCAAAAACATGCAGGACCCTTTTTTTGGTCCGCACTAGAATCGGATCACATGGGTATTCACACCTACAGTATGTGATCTGATTCTGTGCATCGCACCGTGTTTTGCGGACCACTTTCAGGGTATTGTTAACTTAACATTCACACCCGCATCGGTTCGCATGAATGGGGTGCGATTCTGATGCGGTACGGAATTCGCACGGAAAACGCTGCAAATTCCACATCGCATCAGTGTGAACCTGGGCTGAAACTAAACAAATGTTTTTGTTCTGCACACGTCTCGTACATAGTGCTGAGGTCTCCCTCATATTATTTTCTCTGCTTTTCGAATGTTCTTAGCCTCTACCTTTCAGCTTTTTTCTCTGCTGGTGAATATTTTTAAAATCTCATGTTCTTGCAACTATTTTTATTCTTAGGAATAAATGGTAGTAAATTCTACATCTACCTGGCAAAAGGCAACAAAGAAACTGACATTACACACATATTACATACTATACATGTTATGGGTATTATTCCTAATTTTTGCACAAATGACAAGAGTTTCGCAAAGCCAGTTTTTTTATATATAAATAAACCCCATAATGTGTGAAGACTTGGCTTCGTTCTCCTTCTTGTAGCCCTCTGATGTTGAAGGTTAGCTTTGAAGACTGAAGCTAGAAGTGTGGTTCTCGCAGTCATTGCGGAGGAACAAAGAGTTAATGTGACCAAATGGAACACGCTGTACAGCCACATTCCCCCTTCTCCATGTATAAGAGCTCTGAGCTCACGCCTTGCAGTACACACAGCCTGTATCAGCCTAATGCAACCCAAGACCTTTTATAAACCCAGTAAAACAGCTTCTTCTAATCTGTTGCTCCAACAAGAAGTAGAGGGACAGACTGTGAGCTGCCACGGACACTGCAGAACAATTTACTCTGTTCTACCGCAACGTTTTATAGCGCCAGAAGATCTGCAACCACAGACAGTGGTGTACTTAGGTTTTGGTCTGCCCTAGGCAACACAAACAGTGGACGCCCCCACCTCTCACGGACCTGTGGTAGTGAGCCCTTGTAGATAGTCAACTTGGGGTTCCCCAGGGTACGGAGTCTAAGCCCCAGCCTGCTTCTTCACCAGAGCCCCTGATGGTGGGGATGGACTTGCAGCAAGCTGGGACCAGGTCGCGGCCCACAGGTACGCCCAGCTGAGGATGAGGAGACCGCTAACATGAGCAGAGTACAATGGGAGGAGACAAATGGAAATCCAATAGACTGGCCGAGGTCAGGATGTGCGGAAAACAAGCACAGTCAGAGAATGAAGCCGGGGTCAGTACACAAGTAGTCAATGCAGGATACAGGAGATAGCAACACACAGGAGCTCCGACAACTAGGAAGTTGCTCAGGCACAGTGGCCTAGTCTGAGTCTTATAAAGGCAGGCAAACAAGGAGGCGGGCCAGAAAGTGATGGAAGGGAAGGAAATAAAACCCAGAGAATAGGTGAGCACAGACAAACACACATGTGAAAGGGATCAGTAACACCACTGCAGCAAGGAGGTAAGAACACAAACAAGAAACTGCAGGCTAACTTGTGACACCACCTCTCTCTGGTGGAGAGAGCCTGACCAACAACACCCCTGCCCCATCCCCCCCCCTCCCAATCAAGAGAGCCTTCCACTAACAACTCCCCATCCCTGGCCATCCCCAGGAATGACAGTTGGGCTCTGCATACACCATCAAGCAGCCCACAGCCTCTCTCAGATCTCACCTGGTCCCCGTGCAGCATATGTCCCTTCTTCAGGGAGGCAGTGCTGCCCCACTAAAAAATGCTGCCCTAGGCCAGGGGCATATTCACCACAAGGCAAAAAAGGCACTTGCCTAGGGCGGCATTTTTCAGGGGGCAGCACCTCCCCCCAGAAGAAGGGATGAAAGAAGGGACACGTTCTCCATGGGAACCAAATGGGATCTGAGAGAAGCTGCAGGCTGCTTAATGGTGTATGTAGAGCCTGACTCTCATACCCGGGGGATATCCAGAGATGAAGATGAGTTTTTTTTCTCTCTCTTTCACCGGGGGGTTTAGTCAGGCTTTCTCCTTGAGAGCAGTAAGGGGGGGGAGGGGGGGTTGGTGTTGGTCCATGTCCATGGGAGCGGCCGACGTTTGCCTAGGGCAGCACAAAACCTAAATACACCAATGCCCTAGGCAAATGCCTTGTTCGCCTTGTGGTAAATACGCCCCTGACCATAGAGGTGAAACACTGGCCATGAGACATGGACAGGTCAGGGCTGGGGAAGGACCTGCAGGCTTGGGTGTAGGTGGTTTTTCATCATTATAACTAACAAAGAGTAAACTTGCCAATGATTACAAACACAAAGAGTAAATTTGATTACCATGGCAGATTCCGTACTAGACGACATCCGCATCATGCACAGCACTTCCGACCCACACATCCCAGGTCCACTGTGTCCTCATGTCATAGAACTAATAGAGAAATACTTGAATGTGTCTTTTTATTGATGACTCTGTACAACTGACTAGGCAAGTCATATCATCAGACCAAACAAGGATGGATTTACCTTAACCACTAGCCTACCGGGCACTTATACCCCCTTCCTGCCCAGGCCAATTTCCAGCTTTCAGCGCTGTCACACTTTGAATGACAATTGCTCGGTCATGCAACACTGTACCCATATGACATTTTTATCATTTTTTTTAGACAGATAGAGCTTTCTTTTGGTGGTATTTAATCACCTCTGGGATTTTTATTTTTTTTTTAAATAAACCAAAAACCACTGAAAATTTTGAAAAAAAACTTTTTTCTTAGTTTTTGTTATAAAATTTTGTAAATAAGTGATTTTTCTCCTTCACTGATGTGCGCTAATGAGGCTGTAGTGATGGCCACTGATAGGCTGCACTGATGGGCATTGATAGGTGGCACTGATGGGCATTGACAGGCATCACTGATGGGCACTGAAAGGCACGACTCATATATGGCACTGATAGGTGGCACTGACTGGCACTGATAGGCGGCACTGACTGGCACTGATAGGCAGCACTGACTGGCACTGATAGGTGGCACTGATTGGCAGTACTGATAGGTGGCATTGATAGGTGGCACTGACTGGCACTGATGGGTGACACTGAAAGGCAGCTCAGATGGGCACTGATATGTGGCATTGATGTGCACTGGTAGGCACTAAAATGTGGCACTGATGGGCACTGGCAGGTGGCATGGATGAGCACTGAGAGCTGGCACTGATGGATACTGACAGGTGGCACTGCTGGGCTACACAGATCATCAGGGCACACTGATCATCAGTGCTCTGATGATCAGTGTACATGTCCCCTCTGAGGAATGCCGATTACCGGCTCTCCTCTCCTCTGTCAGCGTGACAGCTCGTGAGGAGAGAAATTACGATAACCGACATTTCCCTGTTTACATGTGATCAGCTGTGATTGGACACAGCTGATCACATGACCGAACCAACATCTTAGGCTCTTTCCGTGGATCGGTTATCCTCTGTGTCCGAGGGACGCTGCGCGCTCCCGGAGCCGCACATGCACGGTTAGAATGGGAGGACGTCATATGACGTTCTCCCAGAACGAGAGAAACCGCCTTGCGCCCGTCATTGTACTATATGGTGGGCGGGATGCGGTTAAAGTGGTGCAAACGCCTAAACATTTCTTACTGTAGCCAGGTGCCGGCTATATGATTATGCCATTCAGGGTCATTTACAGATGAGACTATGGTTAATCCTTTTTCCCCCTAGTGCCCAGTACTGGGACTGCTACATCACTTCCTGTTAGCAGAGTGGATCCGGTTCTTCTGATAGCAGAGGATCTTGGGACCTGTATGTCCCATACTCCTGAATTACTGAGTGCCTATTCAACTACAGCTACCAGAGAGCTGGGGAACCAGAGGCTTGCAGGGAGAGCAGATATATTCTACAGCAGGGGACTGGCTCGCCCTCTTGGTGCAGGATTCAGAGCTGAACACAGGGGGACTCCCGTTCTCCTCCAGAGGCAGATTTCTGGCTACTACTGCGGGACTCTGCATGCTAGTTCAGCACAGCAGTGACATTGATCGCCACCCCATGATCACAGTAGCTTCTCTGCATTGGGACCGTCACTATCCAGCCTTCAGACAGTCATCTCTGCTTGCCATGCTGACAGGCTGTCAGATGGTAACTCTGTACTTCTATGTGAACAGCCAAGAGCCTGTGCAAGAACCCTGTCCCTAAGAGGCTGTGCTATCCATGGGATTGATGAGCAGGGCGGATGTCCAACCTCTTTCTGACAACACTCTAGAGACACTGCATGCAGACACCTTTACACCTCAGTTCCAGGATATCTTTGGTTTGACCATTTACCACAGCCTATCTGTTATCTTCATTGAATTACCATTACTCACTACTGTATATGGGCCCCACCATTGCTAGCAGAAGACAACATCTACTATCACATCAGGACTTTAAACAACTCAAGACTCAAGTTGCTATTTCTAATTAAAAGGACTTCTTTGCATCTCAGCCATTGTTATTCAAATTAGTGTGTCTATACTCATTTATGCCAGAGTATATTTATACAGTTTGTATATATTTTTCATAATTCTTTGCATTCCTTTTTGTGATGCTGGTGGCCTAGAGGGAGCTGATAAGTCAACAAGCTTTTTTAACCCCTCCTGCTGCTGGTGTTGCAGTTACATAGTTAAAACGCACTGTTTGTGACCGTAAAATTGCTAATCGTTGCTATTTGGTTATTTCCATTTTATCAGTGTTTTGCTTTTATGAGTTAACTGGGGATGTACCTCCTATACCTTCATTCTGTGGTCTACTCTTTTGAATGAGCCTAAAATATAGGGGTGTTACTAAAGAACCGTATCTCTTGCATTATTATTTCATATTGTTGAAATGTGTCAGAGGTGTAGTAGCGGTATATTTAAAAATATATATATTTTTAAATATATTCTTCAGATTTGTTGTTTTAACATATAAAAAAGTAAATTTAACACATATTTTTACATATATTTGTAAATGCATTCCAAAAACGTAGATTTGTATTTTTAAAGAATACAGTATATTTGAAATGTATTTTTAAAAATAATTTTCATATACTTTGTAATAAAAACGCATTTCAACATGCAGTATATATATATATATATATATATATATACAGTTGTGTTCAATAATAGCAGTCAGACATCACTAACCTGATCAATCACTGTTTTTGGTAGAAATGATATTTCTATATAGCAAATAATTTACTAGCAGGTGTAGTAGAGTAATAGAAATCCAACAGAAATAACAGTCATGACATGCATGCTGCTGATTCTGTGTAATTGAATCACTAATTGAAAGGGGCATGTTCAAAATAATAGCAGTGTGGAGTTCTATTAGGGAGGTCATTCATTCTTTGAAAAACAGGTGGCAATTATTGCCCTTATTTAAGGAAGGAAGGCAGCAAATGTGGTACATGCTGGTTACAGTGCATTTCTCTCTGAAATTCTGAGGAAAATGGGTCGTTCCAGACATTGTTCAGAAGAACAGCGTACCTTGATTAAAAAGTTGATTGGAGAGGGGAAAACATATAAAGAAGTGCAGAAAATGATAGGCTGCTCAGCTAAAAATGATCGCAAATGCTTTAAAATGGCAACCAAAACCTTAAAGACGTGGAAGAAAGCGAAAAACTACCATTCGAATGGATAGAAGAATAGCCAAAATGGCAAGGACTCAGCCAACAATCAGCTCCAGGAAAATGAAAGAAGGTGTAAAGTTCCCTGTGAGTACTGTTACAATTAGAAGACGCTTATGTGAAGCCAAGCTATCTGCAAGAAGTCCCCGCAAAGTCCCACTGTTGAAAAAAAGACATGTGCTGAAGAGGTTACAATTTGCCAAAGAGCACATTGACTGGCCTAAAGAGAAATGGCGCAACATTTTGTGGACTGATGAAAGTAAGATTGTTCTTCTTGGGTCTAGTGGCCGGAGACAGTTTGTCAGACGACCCCCAAACACTGAATTCAAGCCACAGTACACTGTGAAGACAGTGAAGCATGGTGGTGCAAGCATCATGATATGGGGATGTTTCTCATACTACGGTGTTGGGCCTATTTATCGCATACCAGGGATCATGGATCAGTTTGAATAAATCAGAATACTTGAAGAGGTCATGCTGCCTTATGCTGAAGAGGAAATGCCCTTGAAATGGGTGTTCCAACAAGACAACGACCCCAAACACACCAGTAAACATGCAACATCTTGGTTCCAGACCAACAAGATTGACGTTATGGAGTGGCCGGCCCAATCCCCGATCTTAATCCAATAGAAAACTTGTGGGGTGACATCAAAAATGTAGTTTCTGAGGCAAAACCAAGAAATAGAGAAGAACTGTGGAATGTCGTCCAATCATCCTGGGCTGGAATACCTGTTCACAGGGGCCAGAAGTTGGGTGACTCCATGCAACACAGATGTACAGCAGTTCTCAGAAACAGTGCTTATACAACCAAATATTAATTAAGTGATTCAAAGGAAAGCAAAATCTTCAAACATTTATTCAGTTTATATAGTGAATGTTTGAGTTTGTAAAGAAGAATACAAACACTGCTTTTTTTTAACAGTCTAATATTCAATTTTCTTCAATTTGTTTTAGAGGAACAACACAAATTTGATATATTTTTCTTCATGTTTTGATTTGGAATAGAATGTGTAGTGTTCCCAATGCATTTGTGTGGATGGAAATAAAAGTTATAAGAAGGATTTTGAGCTTTATTCACTTTTTTCAACACACTGCTATTATTTTGAACACAACTGTATATATATATATATTTTATATTTATTGAAATATATTTTGAAATATATTGAATTTTACCAAATTTGTAGCATTTCAAATATATGGCAATATATTTGGGAAGAATATTTTAAAAAAATATTTCAAATATATTTTCTTCCATATGGGTAGTAAGTAATGTTTTTTTTTTTTTTTTTACTAAACCTAGGCTTTAAAGTGATATTAAAGGCTATAATATTTTCAAGTCCCCCCGCCGGCTCTCCTGACCCCTCCTTCCCGCCTATGGGGACAGCCAAGCAGGCTTGTTTCTGAGCTGCTTCTCTGTCTAAACATTCACATACAGAGTGGCAGCACGGCCCCACCACCTCTCATTGGCTCACTGCCAGTGATTGAGCCTTTACAACCACTTTAACAGCTTTCATATTTTAATTGCTGTCTGTGTCCAATGTAAAAACACAATTCCTAATCGAATCTTAGGTTAAAAAAATTCACCAATCTTGGGTGAACATGGTGTAAATCTTGCATGAAAATGCTGTTATATATATCCTGTATGTCCCCTTTAAAATGCTATCGAGCAAATAATTTTATAATAAAAAAAAAAAAAGCAAATGATGGGGAAAAAGAGATGACAAAGGTGGTTTTTGACCTGTAAGTAATGATAAAGCTGCATTTAGTTAATGGTTTATTGATCAGAGAGAAGAACTCTAAAATGGTGCCATTTTTTATTGTGTGCCCATTACAGAAGGTCAAAAGATTTCCTTTTAAAAACTGTAATCATAGCTTCATTCAGAAAAAAACATCTCTTCTCTCTGATTGTCACAGTTCTGGACAGGAATTTTCCTTTTATCTCTGCGTGGCAATAATAGAATAGCATGCTTGGCTGATGTATTTTTAGGTCCAGTGTCCATTTTTACTGTAACATTTCCATAATGTATTTGTCTTCCCTCATGTGCTGAAATAATAATGGGAACAAGTCATTTACTATGAAGAAAGTCTTTAAAAAGTATCTAAAGCCAAAAAACTAAAAAAAAAAAAGTGATATACAATATATCATCCTACAGGTCCATATACAGTATGTGGTGGCTGCATTGGAGATTTTTTTCAAACTTTTGTGCCATTATGTTTACATAATAATCTTACAAAGATTTCCTAATCCTGAGTGGCCACGCTCAATCACCCAACTGTATCTGTGAAGGAAGCCTTGGTTTTTACCTAGGCTACATTTCAAATAAATCTGTTCATCTTCTTTACATGGGGATTGATGAATTAGTAGTTTACAGAAGATGGATAAGGTTGTTTTGCTTTTGATTAAGATCACATGAAGTGGCGAGGTCACCTAATTTTTGGCAGGATCAAAAGGTATTTTCTGTACTTACCAAAAAAAATGTTAGCCTAAATATTGAGCAGGGCTCTCCTAACCCTCTTGTATTGAACTGTACTGTTGCTGTATTGTCTCCCTTTATATTGTAAAGCGCTGAGCAAACTGTTGGTGCTATATAAATCCTGTATAATAATAATAATTATAAAGTTATGAAAACTAAACACATCTTCTAACAATTCCCAGCTAGAATAAATAGGAGTTCTAGACTCCTGTACATATGTATACTGGTCTATTCTTAGCTGCTTTGCTGAAAACAGAATGTTGTTTATAGAGCTCAATAGATCAAACTGACATTTTCACAGACTGCTAAGTGATTTAGAGAACAGACACCCTTGCTCCTCCTGCCATCATGCTTAGACAGCTTTGTATGAATCTTCTATCAAAGAAACACATTCGATTTTCAAACGAATGTTTGTACAAGAAATCCCATCACTGCATCCATGTCAACAGAGACTTTACGAATGTCGTTCAAAAGTACTTCAAAATTTTATTTGTTTTTATTTTACGATTTTGGTAGAAATGTGATTTCCCAAATGAAAATCGCATACACTGCTAAAAATTTATTTGAGAAAAAATTTCCATTCTGATCCTTTAAATTTTCTGTCACTATGATCAAAAACAATCATTGATTTGACCCACTAACCATTGAAAAAAATATCTAACTAATGTTTTTGAATGAAGTTCTACAAGTGTAGGGACGACTTGACCCGTGTCATGAGTGCATCCTGTATAAAATATTTATAAAAATAATAAAGATTTTAAATACAATGTAAAAAAGAAAAAAGAAAAGTTTACAGAAGAAATAAAATAAAAAAGACCCCAAAGCATTATAATCCCCCTTTAAAAAAAATTATAAAATAGAAATTCCTCAAAAGGAAACTTGTACTGTAAGAAATATTTAGGCTGCCTGTGATGCCCTACTATGTACTAAGTACTATGGAAGTCACTGCCCATGCACCATAGACCCTCTTCTGCCTTCGGCAATGGGCATATCCTAAATGGTTCATCTGGTTTAATGGACATTCTCTGGGTTTGCAACCCTTCATATTATAACATTGACCATCTCACCCTTCCCATAGCACCCATACTTTACAAAGAACAGGAGCGATAAATATGGATTCCACCTGTATCCCCACTTGCTGGTGAAGTCTGGCATCACATTAAAAAAAAACAAAGCCGTAACCTTCATACAAGTGTTGAAATCTCCTTCAAAACAGAGCAGATCTGAACAGCATGAAAAAGAACTCAGACATGTTTCATGTGACCACATTGGTATTTAAATTCTTGATTTCATCCCAGCACCATGCAGCTCAAAAAAAATTCTTATCAGCAGGTTCAACATCTGCCAGCAAAATTTTACAGTAATCATTTCCGGAACCAAGTTTTATACTTCTTTGATGCTAAAAAGAGTTTTTTTTTTTCCATAGCCTTGATGGGATCGCCTTCAAAAATCTATCATACGGACCATATTTATTGATGCTGGCAGCACAACACAAGTTGTACTTATTGGGAGCAGATGTTAGTGGCGGTGTGATAAATCCCCCCCTACGTCTGGTCTGCCCTACACACTTAAACCCAAAAGGACTGGCACATTAGTGGACTTAATCATTTCAAAATAACTTGGCGCCACACCTGTGCAGCAATGGTACTTTAATGAATACGTTCCCTGTAGCAAATGTCACATCTTTTAAAACTGGTGGGGTCCTTTGTTCCCTCATGTTTAATGAACATACCAAGAACCTTATGTTCCAATGACCTCAGGTAACCTATCCTGCTTCACTTAGATGCTGCGACTATCTGCCTTTTTGTAAAGCATTATCGTCTAGTTCATCTAATGTTCTATTTTTGTTCTGCAAGATTTTGCAAAGTGGAGGTTGGGAAATCATATAACTTAAAAGTGACATCCTGAGATTTTGCTGGTAGCAGCAGTTGAATTTTTATTACCATGTATTTTCTTTCTGTTTATGGGCTTTACTACCTAAAAAGACGCAGAGCTTCCATGGGGCAAAAATTTTCACCTCACCAGCCAACCCAAATATGGGTTGATAGGAGGAGCTCTGCATCTTTGTAGGAATAAGCCCTTTACCCATTTGATTTCTTGGTATTTTCCTAGATGACCTTTATTTAATTTAGTATGGGACGCAGCAGACTTCTACAAATGATGTTTGAAGAATATATGTATAACATATAAGTGTTTTCCAAGTCATGTTTTGAATTTTGCACAGCTTCTATAGGGGCAAACTTTTTTACCACACCAGCAAGCCCAAATATGGATTGGTGAGAGACGTTCTGTCTTTTAGCTATTTGATTTCTTGGTATGGTCCAAGATGACCTGTTTTTCGATTTGGTTAAAGACTTGGCAGACCTCTACAGATGATGTTGGAAGATTACTTTTAGCTCTCTCCCATAATCTATAGTTGCTTTTCAAATCGTGTTTTAAATTTTGCAACATTGCAGGAGACATTTAGAAATGTTATTTGTATGTATTTGACAATCAGTTTAATTTGCCAATTACTGGCAAGTGGGATCTGATGACTATTGATCTACTAGATCTGATACTACATGGGCACCCTTTAAATGGACATATGGGGGTTTATTCTGTGGTTAGAACTGGAGAGTGCAAAATCAGGCTCACTTCTGCAGAGAAACCAATAAGCTTCCAGGTTTTATTGCCAAAGCTTAATTGAACAAGCTGAAGTTAGAAGCTGATTGGTTTCTATGAAGAAATTATTCTGATTTTGCACTCTTCAGCTTTAGTAAATAAACCCCATGGTGACATCATCTTTTCATAAAGTGTGTAATGGCAATTCCTTTTTATTGGCCACTAGTTTCTACCCATGACACATGTGTTGCTAAACATTAACATTTTACCACCATTTAATGCCTCTGACTTCAATAATTACCCTGTGTACTGCTTCTTCTTCTTAAAAAAACCTACCCTTCCTCTCAGATGAACAGGTCTAAAGATGGCTGTTCCAGGTTTTTGAACACTGGGTGGCTCAGATGCTTCACAGGATCTACTGGAGCCACCTTTTAATGCATGCAGGTAGGCAGTGGGAACTATGAGGATATGCATATGTGGTGGCACTTGGAACCATAGGACACGAGGAGGGGGATCAGGAGCACTAAAGTGATGAGTGTATGCTTCCCAATGGGATACCCAAGGAAGAGGAGCACAGGAACCCAGAGGCTGTGGTGGTGAAGACAATGAACTGAAAGTGTTTATGGACTTCTGTTTGGGTAAGCACCTATTGTCTTCTGCTCAACCTGTGCATGCAGGTGTAATTAAATAAAAACAAATGAAGCTTTAGTACTACATTAAGTTGGTACCAGTAGGTAAACTAACATGAGCTAAGAGAAATTGCTTTGATGATAGTCAGCATGACCAGGGGCGGACTGACAACTCATGGGGCCCCCGGGCAATAGGGGATCATGGAGCCCCTGTGTCCTTGCCAAAACTCAAAAAAAAGCCTATGAAAAAGATACCAGGGGCATCTCATGGGGCCCCCTACTGACCCCGGGCCCTCGGGCAGTGCCCGAGTTTCCAAATGGTCATTCCGCCCCTGAGCATGACAAAGAAATAGAGGGAATAGGCAACTGATCTAGAGACAATATTCACAGCAGACTATCAATAGAGTCAATCATATTTGGAGCCTTAAAAAAAAGGCAGAATGTACTAAAAGAAGGTTCCTACTTTAGGTTCATTTCTTTCTCCAAGTATTTTAATAATAAAACGAAGTCAGACACAATCAGTAATGAAGACCAGGCTTGGCCAAAACACATCAGAAGGTAAATGGGTTTTATCTTGTCATTTTACATATAAAGTGAACATGTTGATTTGAGTTGAGAGTGCCTGCTATTTTGTCTGCATTTTGTTCCTTTTGTCCATGCCTGGATCCTGGATAAAGAGTATGAATATTAAGCCTGGTTACAATATGCCCAGTTACAATATGCCAGACAACGCCTTGGCTCGCCTCATGGGGCTTTTTTGTGGCATTGGCGCAGTAAAGGCTTCTTTCTGGCAACTCGGCCATACAGCTCAGTTTTGTTTAAGTATCGCCGTATTGAGTTTCTTGAAACAACCACACCGTCTTTTTTGCAGAGCAGCCTATATTTCTCCTGAGGTTACCTGTGGGTTCTTCTTTGTATCCCAAACAATTCTTCTGGCAGTTGTCACAGCAATATTTCTTGGACTACCTGATCTTGGCTTGGTATCAAGAGGTCCCTGAATTCTCCACTTCTTAATAAGTGATTGAACAGTACTGACTGGCATATTTAAGGCTTTGGATACCTTTTTTAAATCCTTTTCTATCTTTATAATGTTCCATTACCTTGTTACACAAGTCTTTTGACAATTCTTTTCTGCTCCCCATGGCTTAGTATCTAGCCTGCTCAGTACATCCATGTGAAAGCTAACAAACTCATTCACTATTTGTACACAGACATTAATTGCAATTTAAAAAGTCACAAATTAACCTTTAATTGCCTTTTAACCTGTGTGTCACCTTGTGTGTCTGTACCAAGGCCGAACATTCCAGAATATGTAAACTTTGATCAGGGCCATTGGGTGATTTCTGTTATCAATATATTTTAAAAAGGAGCCAAAAAACTATTTGATAATACTGTAAATGGCTTCATATGATCACCATCCTTCAATAAAAGAGTTTTGTGGCATGATCAGTCATATTTTTAATATTTCTGAACTCCAGCATAAACAAATATTGTTTATAAACAAGAGTCATATGTATTCTTACTAAGAACACTTAGTGTAGCGCTTAAGATAATAATTAAATAATATTGTCCAAACCCCCACAAGAAAAGGATAATTGTGAAACAATATAGTACATTAAATAAAGTCCACACAAAATTAATCTGATCCAGTAGTGGTGGTGCCAAGTGAACCAAAAGCCAGAAGAAGACAGAGAATCCATCACCTTTCACCCAATCATTTGGCCTCTTACCGGAAGGTTTGACCAACCAAAGGATTGGTCAAACAAAGCAGATATCAAGCCCAGCAGATGAGTCCAGGACTCCCAAAAGGATCTCCCACGAAATCAGGATGAATTAGGGACTTCTCACTAAACAATGAGATCTAGGATGGCAAATACTCAGCTGCTCAGGCGCCTGCTCCCCCGCTCGGCTATTGCGTACGGCACAATGAAAATGGAGGGCCCCACTTCCAGGTACTAAACCAGCAGAAGGGAGAAGTCTTTGTTTTTGACCAATCCTTCAGGTGGTACACTTCCAGGACACTAAGGGGTTTGTTTACTAAAGCTGGAGAGTCCAAAATCAGACTCCCTTCTGCATAGAAACCAATCAGCTTCTAACCTCAGCTTGTTCAATGAAGCTTTGGCAATGAAACCTGGAAGATGATTGGTTTCTATGCAGAATGGAGTCTGATTTTGGACTCTCCAGCTTTAGTAAATAAACCCCTAAGTGTTTTTAGTTTGTTTATTTTCGCCTATTTACTGTGTCAGCTGCTCATTTTATTAGCAAATTCCCAAGCGCAGGTTTTCTATTTAATCATATGTATTCTTATTGAATTTTGGTGTGTTTTTGTGTATTTCTTCCAGATCTGTGCAGTAATCCAGTGTGAAACTTTACTTCTGTGCAGGAGCTTCCTGTAATAAAGACCGGCCACTGCTGCTCTCTCTCCTTGTGCAGAGCGACTGGTCTTGTTTCCTGTCAGCCTGTAGTGGGTGGAGCCTGCTGGGCCCCTCCCACAGCTCTGGCAAACATAAAAGTTATATGCAGCACAGTGATGATTTTATCAATACTTTTACAAGGTGATATCTGAGTTAGAGGCATTTGTTGCCTTTATATCCATTGTGACTTATGAACACAAAATTTTTTGTGCTGGAGTTCAGCTTTAATCCTCAAAACTCATTTGGGTCTAGAAATCAAGTCTACCCAATCAAGACAAGGTCAGTTTGAAAGTAACTTACTCAAGGTCAAAGATATTCTTGCAAATATACAACAAAATCAGCACAGTTTTGCATCCAACACATAACTAAGTCAGCAAACATTTACTCTGGCTCAAAGCTGCAAATACGTCTCTTATGTAATTTTAATAGAAATATGAATTTAATAGCACTGGAGAAAGCCTGCTTTGTGCCTCTGATGGAAAAAAGGCTGCCTATTAGAGTGATGCATGATATTTCAGCTCCTAAAACACCAGCAGAACTGTAACTTAGCAGAACACATATTGCCATCTATTGTGAAATTTCTCGAAATTGCTGTCCAGATGTGAATATCAAGTCCCTTTTTGCTCCCCGGACTAATACTAATGTGTGGTGATGCAATGCATATTAAGTGGAGGCTTCTGTTTGTGCTGGCCTCGATGCTTTTGGCGAAGAGCGCGAACTGGGCTGCTGAAACTTTACATACAGTATGCGATTATGTTGTAATGTCAGGAAGACTAACCGCGGATTAACCACTCAGACCAGTATTTTCCATCGTAGAGAGAAATTGTGAAACTGTGATATAATTTGGGCTTGAGTCACCAACAAGATTCCAGATTACAGTTAGCAATGACAATCTTAAAAGTGTACTTGTCATTCATACATTACCTATATTTCTGCCTACCAGTGTTTTATACTTTCAAACTTTGAGAAAGGGGTGAAAACTTTCACCTAAAAGTTTTTTAGGCAACAGATACTCCAAAACCTGGGATGTCCTCTGAGATGAGCAAGCCTTGTAAAGTTTCAGGGGAGCTATAATATCCAAACCACCTAAACCGACAACTTTCAATTTTAAGGAGCAGCAATCTATTCTAAAGCTGGTTAGGCACTATTGGACTTTTTCTTTATTCAGCCTTTGGGCTGAACAAAAAAAAAAAATCTAACATTTTTTATGGTTGAACTTGATGGACTTTTGTCTTTTTTCAGCCATAGTTGCATAGTCTGGCTGAAAAAAGACAAAAGTCCATCCAGTTCAACCATAGGAAAAAAAAAAAGTTATAATTCTATACTCACAGTTGATCAAGAGGAAGGCAAAAAAACCCAGCAAAGCATGATCCAATTTGCTCCTGCTGAGAAAAAAAATTCCTTCCTGATCCCTCAAGAGGCAATCGGATATTCCCTGGATCAACGTTACCTATAAATGTTAGTATCCAGTTATATTCTGTGTATCTAAGAAACAATCCAGGCCTTTTTTGAAGCAATCCACTGAGCTGGCCAAAACCAACTCTTGAGGGAGTCTATTCCAGACTAACTACGTAACAGACTCCTCTGTCTATGCTTTACATGAATGAATACCCCAACTTGTATTTTGACAGTTGGCGGTGGCCAAACAATTTTCCACTCAGCTTCTTTGATATTTCAATCAATGTCAGACAGAAAGGGACAAACAGGGCCACCCAGTAGGCTGTTTTCGAATGGTTTATCAGGAACAGATAACATTTGCATGATAAATGACCACTTTAGGTGCTCCTTTACGACCAGGCTCCTCATCTTCATCAACCACACCAAAAATGTTTAAAACCTGGTGTTTCTGTGTTTGATGGATACAGGAGAAGTAAAGTCGATGAAAAAATCCCTAAAATCTCATAAAAGCTTTAAGTTTTCAAAATTCCTGTTGTCACCCTGTCACATGAGCTTCCTATGACCATTTTTTTATGCTTTATTTTAACAAACAGCAGGACAGAACGGACAGAAGCATCATTGTAATTTGATAATACAGCAGTTCACATTGACATAGTATACATAATCTAAGAAAATAAGTGTAGGCCTACATCAAGACCAATACGTCAATTATCATTTGTTAGAAATGTTGGCTACTGCTGTTTTTCCATGCATTTTCCATTTTCTGGGTGAAACACATGGCTATATTGTGCAGGCATGGTCCACTGTCATTACCATCAGGAAACCCACCCTGAGAAACGCCATTTAGCCATTGTTGGTGTGCAAGCATGTAGAAATGAAGTATCTACAGGAGATCAACAGCACTAAGATGCAATAAATAAATGAAAAAAAAAGATGAAAACAAGCATCTGATTTAAAAAAAAAAGGGCAATAGTTTATGATACATAATGTTTTACAAACTAAATATCATTCAGTTAGGATTTACATTCCCTTTAACCTCCCTAGCGGTCTGATTATGTCCATATTTCTGTGCTCAAAGCGGTACCATTATTTTGCATGGAAATATGTATTTTTTTTATTGTAGGCCTGTAATTTTTAGGAATAACTCACTTAAATCTGCCCGAACAAGAGTCTAGTAAACATCCTGGGTATGTTAAAATTTGAAACACGAAATCATAAATTATCATTTAATAAATAATCATAAAAAATAATAATATAATAATAATACATTTAATTCAATAATATAATCAAACCAAAAACACTGAAATTTGAAATAGAGCGCCAAGTTCGCACATCACTGAGCAAAGTCGCAAAATCGTTTTCAGTGTCTGATGACGAATTTCCCCCACGAATCATTATC